ATTTCCTTTGGATATGTAGCCAGAAGTGCAAGTGCTGAATTCAAGCTTTTTTATTTTTTATTTTTTTTTAATAATTTTTTATTGTTATGTTAACCACCATACATTACATCATTAGTTTTTGATGCAGTGTTCCATGATTCATTGTTTGTGCATAACACCCAGTGCTCCACGCAGAATGTGCCCTCTTTAATACCCATCACCAGGCTAACCCATCCCCCCACCCCCCTCCCTTCTAGAACCCTCAGTTTGTTTTTCAGAGTCCATCATCTCTAATGGTTCGTCTCCCCCTCCGACTTACTCCCCTTCATTCTTCCCCTCCTGCTATCTTCTTCTTCTTCTTCTTTTTTCTCTTAACATATATTGCATTATTTGTTTCAGAAGTACGGATCCGTGATTCATCAGTGTTGTGCAATTCACAGTGCTCACCATAGCACGTACCCTCCCCGATGTCTATCACCCAGCCACCCAATCCCTCCCACCCCCCACCACTCCAGCAACCCTCAGTTTGTTTCCTGAGATTAAGAATTCCTCATATCAGTGAGGTCATATGATACATGTCTTTCTCTGACTGACTTATTTCACTCAGCATAACACCCTCCAGTTCCATCCACGTCGTTGCAAATGGCAAGATCTCATTCCTTTTGATGGCTGCATAATATTCCATTGTGTATATATACCACATCTTCTTTATCCATTCATCTGTCTGAATTCAAGCTTTTTTAAAGGTTGTTTTCTGTTCTCAGAATTATCTCCGTGGTCACTTTTTCTATTTTCCTTGACTTTTTTCCCCTATTTACTCTTCTTAGTGTCTTTACTTTTTTTTTTTCATGTTTTAGGGTTTTGATTCTTCTTTTTTTTAAAAAAAAAAAGATATTATTCTTGTCTACTGCTTCTTCGTTTTTATAGCAGATGTAAGAATGACGTAAGAATGGAGAGACCCTACTCTGCAGACAGGGCTTGTTGGCTGATGGGTTTTGTTTAAGGAAAAGAGGTCAGGAAGCCAATAAGCTGGAGAACTGGATTTATTCTGTTGCACTGACTCCAAGATAGCCCCCCTAGTACCCTCCAGTAAGAGTTTAGTGTGGCTTAAAATGAAATCTCCTGTGTTTCTGCCTGGAATAAATGTTCAGCTGCAGAATTGTTCTGCATCCAAAGGTGAAGAGTCTATGTATGGATGTCCAACTAGTTAGTACCCTTCATTACAACCCCCTTTCTCTCTCCTACCCTCAGTGGTAAGTGCTGGAACTGTTCCACGGAAGTTCCTTTCTAGGTGTGTCCCAGAGTGTCACTATTTCTTTTCTGCTTCATCCACTGATGACACTCTCCATTTCCTCCTTTGTTGCATGTCTTACCCTTTCCTGCCTTTATAATCAGTTTAACGGAGTTTCAGAAGGCAAAGAAATTGATGTATATGTTCAGTCTACCATCTTGAACTGGAAATTTCTTCAACTTTTTTATAAAATGTTTAGAATGTGATTCAGGGTGTTTCTTGCCCCTCCCCAAGTATTACCATAATTTGAGGTGAATTATGTGCCAGAGAGACACCCCAAATGGCACCAGAGACTCTCACTCTTCTGCCAACTGCATCTCTGGTTACTTTCACTCCTTTCATCTACCTCAGCCACCCACGTCCGTATCTGTACAAGGATACCAGGCCTTGTCAGCACCTTGGACTCAAATCTTAAATTGAAACATGCTGCTTTCTGGTAACAACGTTTTTTTAATTCCCACTCTATCACTCAGATACCCCTACAAAACCTGCTTTTTGCCTTGTCAAGATATGCAGCTTGTTAGCCCATTTAATTTCTTCCCTTTGTTTCACCTCCTCCTAGATCCAGCCTCAATTACATATCCCATCACTGTACCTATGTATGCTCTCCTGTCAGAATCTTAAACATGAACAAATCAAATTGTCTTATAGAATAAGACCTTCTGGGTTCATGTCCCATCTCTACCACCCACATGGCGTATGATCACGAGTCATAAGCTGTGTGACTTTGAAGAAGTTGTTTAAATTTTCTGTGCATCCATGTCCTCATCTTTAAAATGACGATAATGATAGTACTAATGTTCTGAGGATGAGATGAGACAGTGCTTAGAAAAGACTCAGGCTCAATAAAAGTATTCAATAAACATTAGTCAGTAGTAATAATATTCTCTAATTTAAAAACATTAATGAACTATCAGTGCACTTTAATAAGTTATAATAAAATACGTAAAATGCTTACACATTCAATTTATACCATTTAATCAGTCTTTCTTGATTAAGCATTTCTAAGGAGTTTTGGTAGTTACATATTTTAGGTACATCAAGGAACCCAAAGAAATGGGTTATTTCTCTAATTTTTTCTTCTAATCTACTTTGACTGTTAACTCTCTGCACATCCAAGGAGAACTTGCCCTAATTATTATATTTAGAACCACTGACATCTAATTATAACATCTATTAAGGTAGTAGGTACCAATTACAAACTCGGAGGCATGTTGCCTCATATTCTCCCTGACATAACAATTGTGGTTTTAGGAAAGACCAGATTCAAAAAGTGATTTAAACTCTGTCAATTCTCGTTGATGCTGTTAGGCCACTTCTTTCAGATCTATAGTTATGTGATAGTTATTATGAGCTTTGAAGATCTCAGGAATCCTTCAGCTTGATCTCAAAATCTCTTTGATGATGGGATCCTGCTTAATCCCTTAATTTAAATAAGTCCTTGGAGGAAGACATTTTAACCCCAGGCAATGTATAATTACTGTTCTGATTACTAGACCCCCATTGTAACATAACTCTAACCGAATTAATATTTTGGACACTATCCTTGTAGAGTGAGACTGTGCTCTTTTAAGACATGTATAACTATGTTCTCTGAAGATGGTAGGATTGTGCATATTTTAATGATAATGACTCTACCATCATACCTTTAAAATATATCTAAATAGAAAATCAGTGAGATGTCAATTAAATTAAAAAATATTTATTACTATTGAATCAGCTTCAGGAGGTATAACAGAGAAGCAATGTAATATGATAACTTTGGGTTCTGTTGGAATCTTGGGCAAGTTATCTAATTTTTCTGGGCTCCATTTCCTAATCAGTAAAATGAGTTTTGGTTATGAGTTAAATGAAATAGTGTATTAAAGCTCTTTGTATATACCACTGAACTGGAAATACTTATTGAATCTAAGGAATCAGATGGGCATGCATGGACTTCTTAAGTGCAAATTCTTATTTTATAAAAATCAAGGTTTCTGGGGGCGCCTGGGTGGCTCAGTTGTTAAACGTCTGCCTTCGGCTCAGGTCATGATCCCAGCATCCTGGGATCGAGCCCCACATAAGCCCCACGTCGGGCTCCCTGCTTCGCGGGAAGCCTGCTTCTCCCTCTCCCACTCCCCCTGCTCATGTTCCCTCTCTCGCTGTGTCTCTCTCTGTCAAATAAATAAATAAAATCTTTAAAAAAAAAGATCAAGGTTTTCGTAGGCTCCACTCCTGCCCTCATACCCCTTACTTATCACCTGTCCTTAAATAATCTTAATCTTAGATTTTGGTTCATAAACGTATCTCTTTTTTTATTCTCCTACCTCCAAATAAAAAGACAGAATCCCTATTTATGCCTTCAGCATGGTCTTACCCCATTCACTCTCTATGAGTATATCACTGGATGTGTTTTCTAGGAAAACATCTAAATCAAACTCATTTTTGGCAGACACACAATGGCTATTGCTAAATAGTTCTAGAAATCTGTCTTAGTAAGCTAAAGATTTATGTTATAGTTAACTTTCCCAGTGGGCTTACCAGAATGTAGTCATATTCCAAATTAAGCCTTAGAAGGCCCATCTTTGGGAAAAGCTCAGTTGAACCTCTACTATCCTAATTCTTGCTCTTAGTTTTTTACAGGCAGAAGTCATACTTTCCATTTTTGTTGCATTTGAATAGATCCAGAGTCACTTTCTGAAAAAAGTCCCAGTCCTGACCAAAACTAGACCTACTCTATGGCTTACAAACATGGTATGTGGATTTCATGACTCTCCTCCTGGGTCCATGCTGAAGTCAACAGCCAATCACGAGTCTCTTTCCTATTAAGGATGAACTCAGCCTGAGGCTCATTCTCAGCCAGACTTCCAGAAAGAGAAAAGAAACAAATATATAAGAACTTCCCTGTCCTACTTGTACTCGAAAGTAAGCTCCCTGAGGACACAGGCTAAAGCTTATTCATATGTGTTTTCCTGACAGACAAGCTGATTGGATGTTGATTCACTGTATAAAATAAGAATGGTAGTCAGTTTCCTTAATGTTTTAAAAAAAATGTTAGCATAAGCATTTTTGTATTCACTCTGAAAGAAGAAAAAGCCAGTAAAGATGTTGTAATATTAAAACCATCCAAATTTTTGTGGGAGTCTCTGTTTGGATGAAAGCTAGAACACTTACACAGTATCTCAGAGGGATGGACATGTGAAGCTCTATTAAAGCAACATGTCCCTAACCCATGGAACCACATGGAAAAACTCTTGACATCTTTACTTCTGTAGTTAGTCTCATTTTTCTAAAAACAGTTTAAACCAGTAAGAATTTTCCAGAAGTTGAATTTGAATCACCAACTTTCCAAGGAAAAAAATAAACAAAACTAAGTAAACATATTTCAGCCTCAAAATTCCCCCCACTCACTAACAGTTTCAACTTAAATTTGTTCCCTTAAAGCACCCCAATTTCTCTATAGAACCTATCAAATGAGTCTCTTGTGGACGCCCACACTTGGGTGCAATCCTAAATGGTACTCAGACCAGACACATGTCGGTGCATTTTTAATTGCGAAAGCGAATAGTATCCATTTTAATTACACCCTCATCATTTATTACAGTCACTCTTCAGAATGTGAAGTCTTGGAAATAACACACTAAAAAGTACTTGTGGACTCTGGGGCTTTGGCAGGCTGGGACAGAACTTCTGAGAACATGCTGTGTGAATTTTCCAAAGGAGGCAATCAATCTGAGAGGACACACATGGGAGCTGTTCATTTGGAACCTAGCTGGTGGCTTCTATCTCGGATTTGAGGATCTCACAATCAATAGACATGTCTGCAAGTATAGAGCATAACCTGGATATTACTCTTAATCATTGCTTCAGTTTGTAAAGAGCTGGTCCCATCAACTGCCAAAGAGGGAGGCTCATCTAGAATCCGGGTGGCTACATCTGTCTGCCAGTAAGTGCTTAATGACTCATTTTCCTCAACAGAATTTTCATAAGACTGGAATTCAGGGAGGGATGTCTGGAGAATGTCTGAAAGGAAGTTCGCAAGCCACTGTCCTGCTGTTTGCTGGAGAAAGCCTCCTATGGTAGCCAGACCAGTTGATTAAAGCAAACAGCAACAGATTTCAGTATTGTTTCCTCATTACCTTTCATGAACAACCCAGGAAATGTCACCATGAAGTTTGTTTTAGTCATTGTGAGAACATCATAAACTTCCAGAAAAGAAAATCATTAGTGGAAAAACTAAAGACATAGTAGGTTAGCAATTGTGTTTATGTGGAACCACAGAATCTATCCAAGTGTCTTGCACTGAACCAGCCAGAATACTCCAAGAAACTGTTGTGTGTATGTATTTTTAAAAAATTCAGTCAACTTTTTTTTCCTGATCTGTCGGGTTGACCAATTGCTTTGCAATCATATGGATTTAGCCAAAACGAAATTGTACTTAAGACTTACCTCTGTTTTCAAATGCTTTTTTATTTGTTTTAGAGGCTTTATAATTACTGAATGGTCTTCTCTCTCAGAATATATTCTGAGATGGAAGCAAAAATATCACTTTTGCAAAAGCCATTTCCATTCTTCCAAAGGTCTGTTGGTAAATTATTCTTACTGATCTTTCCATCTTTCTGGCCTGTGCATACACACCTAACCCATACTAAATTTCACCAGATGGCATTTTATTTCTTTAAAGTAAAGCAGCCGTGGGTTTAGACAGTTGAATTTTTAAACTTCTGTATTTACTGAAAGTGCATATGGTGCTATATGGACAAAGAAATTGTGCTGAAAGAAAAACATTTCTGTCCGCAAGTACCTCATAATTTCCCAGAGGAATAAAAATGTGCAGTTACGTGGTGTATGTCTCACAAAAGCTTATATGGCTTTAATTTTCTTTCTCTGCTAAAAAAATAGATATATGTATATTGTGTGTACCTGGAGGTTGTACTATTTTAAATTCTTCTTGCAAATAAAATGGTTACAGAAAATGTGATCACTTGCCAAAGTGATCCGTAAGTGATTTCTAGAAGAAAATGAAACATAAACCCAACCTTGTTAAAAAAAAAAAAAAAAACTAAAACCTCTGTCAACGTAAGCAGATGTTGGTGTAGAATTTACAAGGATGAGAAGGCTATAAAACCTCCCTTGAGCCACTCACAGTTCATTTCAAGGCCAAGAACGCCCCCAAAATCTGTTTCTAATTTTACAGAAATCTTTTGAAATTTGGCCTGGTATTCAAAAGTCCGTGGAAAGAAAAAAACCTTGTCCCAGCTTCAGCTTCCAACTCTGAAGACAGACTTGCTTCTTTCAACGGTTTTCACAGATCCGGTGACCTACGTTCTGAAGTCAGAATTAGCTAACTTTCAAAAACATCTGGAAAAATGAAGGTTAGTATATGCAGCCTCAGGTGTTGCTAAAGAAGGAGGACTGGCTGAGTTGAGTTCGATCACAGTTTTCTATTGTTTAGAAGGTGAGGATTTGTACATAAGTATGTACTTCCTGGAGTGGGTTGGGATTGGGAGATTGTTCTAAATATACTGTAGAAACATTTGTCCTTGCAGAGCTGGGAGAATTCCAGCAATTATAGCCAGATCAGTGGAAAACAATCAAAGGCTTTGTGGGGAGGGAGAAATAGGATTTAGGTGTAAACAAAATCTTGCCATTTCTATTTAACAGAAACTGTGTATATGTCAATTTTCTTTATTTTATGTAGACATGGTTAAAAATTGTATTTGGAGTTGCCACTTCTGCTGTGCTTGCTTTATTGGTGATGTGCATTGTCTTACGTCCTTCAAGAGGTAAGAATTTTCTCTGATTTGCTCTATCTGCCTAGGATAGCTCGGAAAGTGCACTAATGCATGGTCACAAGTGATTGAACATTTCCTAAGTGCTTATTTCCCAAGGTAAGTCTGTTATTTATAAGAAGACATATAAGCTCACAGATATGTTGTTGAGCAACCAGAAATACTGAGGAATTTAAGGCACGAGTAGGAAGATTCCCAGGATTACTTCAGCAATAGAAAAACCTAAGCACTATTCCGTATCACCCCCACCCCCCCACAATATCTGTTAAATTACAAGTCTGGACAGGCCTTTAGAGAAAATATTTTTAACTAACATTTCTTTTCATTATTGTAAAGATAAGTAAGAATGGAAAAGTCAAAACAGAACCTATGGAGTTTTGTATTATGAGACTTTCCAAAAATGTAGGGAGGCAGCAGCAAATAGAGATCCCAGGAATAGTTACAGAAAAGGTGAAATTGTTGCTCTAGATGCAGTAGCAATGAAAAATCAGATTAGAAGACTATTATCAAGAAAGCATTAAGTGATAAATCGATCCTTTTAGAAGATTAACATTGATTTCAGTTTGCTGTCAGTTGGAAGATACTATGAACTGATATTGCTAGTTTGAATTTAAATTAAGACTGTCCACAAATAACCCAGTGATATTAGGGGAATAGGTTCTTAGGAAATGGTTGATGAAGAGAAGCTCAAATTCTAAAACAGGAAAAAATTACAACAAAAACACATCTTGTGTCTTGGGGTCTAGGGGAAGGGGGAAAGTTTGTACTAATAAATGTTTAAAAAAAAAGCTTATGATAGCTAAGATGGGAAATATTTTTGGTTACAGATTAACTGACAGAAAAGGAAGACCAATGGTAAACCTTTAGCTAAAAAATGATCTGTTGTTCTAAATAATGAAATATAGAAAAATATTTTGAAAAATTCAACATGCTAGTGGGATTTTCACAGAATTACAAAATGGAGAAGTTAATCAATAAGATGAAAACAGTGTTCTTATATCTTCAGTGTTAATCTTTAGTCCTTATTTCTGCTATCTGATGGCATTTGATTACTCTTAGGATGCTGAGATGTGTGTGCACATCCATATTTTTCATGGTTTTTCAGGTTAAAATTGTCTTCAGACCAGTGTCTCACCTCAGTGGTTTTGGGCCATATTTGCCTCATATGAGTAACTGTCAGATGGCAGATTAAGTCCAATTGGCCTATTGAATGCTAATCCATTCAAAATTAACTCCTTCTTTGGAAAGAAAATCACCAATACTTGAAATTAACATTTTGCTCCCTCAAAAATTAATGTTCTGAGAACAGAAGTGTATGGAAATTATTGTGAGCTTACCCCATGTCCACAGGCAAGATTGGATTGCAATGGCACTTTGGAATTTAAGCCATAAATTTTCATGAGCAACATACTATAGTTATACATTTATAAAAAGTATATAAGTATACAACACATAGAAATTTGTGTCATTATACACAATCTCAATCCTTACCTTCTTCCCAAGTTTAGACATGTATCTTATACGCATAAATATGTGTTATAAACTATATATAGTATAAAATCCCTGTCATTTATAACATAGTTTTCTGTTTCAACCAACAGGATTATTCTCAGGGCAAAGTAATTTCCTGAAAGAGTCAAATAATCAAACTAAACTTTAGATGAAATTTTATTACTCTGAGCAACAGAAAAATCATAAAAAAGCTGAGAACTGTATCTTTTCTATCTATAATATTCTCTGTCTATTCTAAATTGGCTGAAGAACTTCTCAGAATGCCGCTCGAATGACTTGTACCTGGGACTATTCATTGCCCCATTTCCTGAGCAGGACCAGGGTCAAAGCCCTCCTTCCCACACGTCTGTGTACAGGCCCCTGACGCTCAGTGCATCCTTCTGTCCTCCCCTCCTGTCTTCTCACCCCACTCCTTAATCACCCCAGGTCTGGAACTTCCCTCTCACCTCTGCCCAGTGCCTGGTGAGAGTAGCATCTAAGGTACTAAGGCAGGAGAAGGGAAGGAGGAACAGAGAATTCAATGCCAAGTTAGCTTCCAGTTAGCCTTCTCACACTTCCTCAGAAATCCCATTACCTCACATTGGCCTTAGGTGCCCTCATATTCTTAGCCCAGGATCTCTGTGCCAGCGTATAAACAGTCTTCCTTTGAGAAACTTAAAGACCCGCTTAAGAAACCTGGGTTCACTTATTTATTTATTATTGAAGTAAATCCCACCAATGACCTGCCCATCATTGTGCCAGTTGCCGGGGAAACAAAGGTGCAGTGGTCTAGATTTCCTTGCGAAAGGCAAGGTAAAACCCCCCCATGGAGGCATGATCATCACCACCAGAGGGGATTTCTGCTGGTCCATCCCCACCAGGTCCCAGTGAAAGAAGGGGAGATATGGGCTTTTCCACACAGGGAGAAGGTCCCAGAAAGGCCAGCCTCAGTTCTTAAAAGAGCTGTGGAGGAATTAGGCAGGGTTTTGGGAACAAATAGGAAAATGTAGTAGTGAAATGAAAAAGATCCATTTAGATCACCCACATAATAATAAACATACAGGACAACTTTTTTGGAAACTTCCAAAATTTCCCATTTTTATTTGCACCAAACGGGAAACACATGTGGGTTTCTATTCCTTAGTCCCAGGCCATCCTCTTTTGCCTCAGTCTATCCCCGTTCCATGGCTGCCCTTTCTATTCTCCTGCCTCTATTCACTTCCTCTTTTCTTCTGAAGCATCACTCCACTTCCCCTGTGAAGATACAACCAGGCCAAGAACAGAAACTAACCTCCACACCTTCCCCTCATTTTTGCCAACCCCAAAGACAAATGCACAGATCTTATTTCAAGAGATTTCATGAGATAAACACAAACATACAAAAAATTGGAATTGGAAAGCCATAAACGTTCCAGAATTTCATAAGTAAATTCTATATGGCCTTGCCTCACAATTTACAGTCTCTGAATTCCTGGACCTGAGTTTGTGAAATTTGTGTGTGAAAGGACAGGTAGGTGTGAACGGCCCTCCCGTTGACTTCTATTGAGTGTAGAGCTCCCCACATGAGGATAAGCAAATGTTCCATAGATATTAGCTATTATTTTTCTATAATTTAACATAAGTAGCTGCTGAAATAATGACAGCTAAAATTTTATTGTGGTCTTCATCCTAATATACACATAACACAAAGATGGCAAGTAGGCCCTACTGTGTAATATATTCCAATTTCAACAATGTTCTCAATTCTGAGAGTAGGGAATCTTTACGCCTGGGTATCATTCCTGTTCCTAACCCCCACCTCCTTGGCTCAAAAACAAATATTTTTCAGAAACTTTTGCATGCAAGGCACTCATACAGGACACTAGCAGCTCTGACGCAAAAGCAAGAGAGACAAAAGTGAGAAGATAAAGGAAGTTGGAGATGGGGGTAGAGGATAAAGTTGAAGGAAAGAAAAAAGAAGAGGGGGGAATGCAGGGGGTAGAAATCGGAAGTTCTCCTGGGCAGTGCCTCTAGTACCTCCCAGTGAAAGGAGAACCACTGTAAGTCCAGCCTCAGATCTCCCTGCAATCCTTTGTCTACCTTTAAACGTTTTGCCTTTTACTGTTGTTTTGGGTTTGCAGTATTTTATACAAATTTATATAGTTGCTAGTTTTTAAAAATTGGCAGATTTCACATAAAAATCTTAGATTCTTGACTCCTTTTTAAATATTAGGTCTGGCAGCATTGGGCTCATGGTAATGGTTAGTTGAGAAGTACGTGTTATCTTTAGTGGGGCAATGCGTTCTCCAGTCTGCCACAGACCCTACAACTTTGTATTTTATTGTGCTCAAGCTACCACATTCATTTACAATATCTACCTGATTTCTAGAAAAAGTTGGATTTTTTTTAAAGATTTTATTTATTTATTTGAGGTACAAAGAGAGAGCCCAAGCAGGAAGGAGGGGCAGAGGCAGAGGGAGAAGCAGGCTCCCCACTGAGCAGGGAGCCCAATGTGGGACTCGATCCCAGGACCCTGGGATCATGACCTGAGCCGAAGGCAGACGCTTAACGACTGAGCCATGCAGGCACCCTGAAACACTTTGATTTTTAACCCTTGGACTAGAAGAAGTATATGGTTCCTCCCGGATTAAAAATAACAATCTACTGAATATGAAAAGCCTGAGATGAACAGCCCACAGTTATCCAATATCCACAATGTCCAGTCCACTGTGGCTCCTAGACATGTCGATTATTTGTCCAACAATTATTTGTTAAGCACCTTCCAAAAAATTGCCACTGGTCTAGGGCATGAATGACAAGGGCTCCACCCTTAGGAAAGAGCAGTCTGGTAATAAGCAAGTAAACAAATATGTAAGATATTTCAAATTCCTTAAAGTGTTACATAGAACAACTAGAGTGAGGGTTGTGTTAGACCTCTAGGGCTGCCAGAACAGAATACCACAGACTGAGTGGCTTCAACAGCTGACATTTATTTTCTCCCAGTTCTGGAGGATGGAAGTCCAGGATCAGGGTGCAGACAGGTTTGGTTTCTTTGGAGGCTTCCCTCCTTTGCTTGTAGATGGCTGCCTTCTCTCTGTGTCCTCACATGGCCTTTTCTCCATGCACACATACTCCTGGTGTCTCTTCCTCTTCTTATAAGGACACCAGTTATACTGGATTAGGGCTCCACTATTAAATTTTATATAATCTTAATTATGTGCCTCTTTAAGGGCACTGTCTTCAAACACAGTCACACTGATGGTTAGAGCTTCAGTCTTTGAATTTGGGGGACACAATTCAGTCTGTAATGAAGCTCGTCCATGAGGCTTCTCTGAGGTGATATTTGAGCTAAGACCTTAAGGACAGGGAGGACACAATCCTTAAGGCAGGGATAAATCCTCAATGCAGAGGAAAATGCAGGCACAAAGTCCCTGAGGCAGGAAAGTGAATTCAAGGAGCCAAAAAGAGAATGCTAGCTGTGAGGTCGAGTTACATAAACAAGTTAACACAGGAAAATATGTATA